GTAGCAACAGGAGCCCCACATGCGAACCTCCTTCAGTGCTCATCCCTGAGCATCCCCACGCGTCAATCAGTCCCCTTTATTCTCCTGCTGATGTGTTCGCAGTCAGTTTAATTCTCTATTCCTGGATATAGAACCCAAGCGGCTCTGTGGAACTGTTTTCTCTCCCTGACATCAATAACACAGCATTGCATGGCCTTCAAATTTTTTCCTTCTAACCAATGAGAAGATTTACTGCCCTGTGTCTGTGCTTATTGCTACGGTAGAAAGACACTGAGAAAAAGAGCAAAAGGAGGACTAGGAAGACTCATCCCTTCTTCAGTAGGTTAAGACTGGAGGGGGAAGAAAAAAAAAAACAAAAAACCCAGAATGAATTCTGAGGTGAAAAGAAATGGAATGATCCATTTATAACTAAAAGCACAGTCCACACAGGATAACATCAGTCGGGCCTAAGTCTAGCATTCATCTTCCAGGACCTCTTAGGAAAATTTCATCAGTGGTAATGGGGGTGAGGGAGTGGAGGTAATGTTTCCTGTTCTTTTTTGTTTTTTTTTTTAATTTTATTGAGAAACAAAGAGCAATGACACAGTTTCAAAACCAATTCGTATGACAGTTTCAAGAATTAACACATTGCATATTGTGTGTTTCCCATTCTTAGGCTGAGTTTACTGCTTCAAAGACTGCAGGAAGAAGTAAAAGAGAAACCAAGGAACTCTAATGACCCTGTGGAAACAGCGACTCTAATGACCCTGTGCAAACAGTGACATTCTACTTGCTACAAGAAAAACATTCTTCACAGCAGAGGTCGTTAGCCAGGTTGGGATGTTTCTTCAAAACAGAACTTTTGCTTAGTCTCATCTTCCTTGCCTACACTAGGGTGGTGTAATGGCTCACTGCCTTTCGTTCTCATGACCCTGAACTGCTCTGAAATTTCTCTTTCCTTTTACTTCCTACATTTCAAGAGGAACTATACACAAATGAGCTGCTGAATTTATTTTTGGAAAGATGCTACTTCTTCAAAACGTCCTAAGTGCTCTGCCTTTGAACCAGGGACTCCACACCGTAATAGGATGAATGTAAGTACACAGAGAAGTGGAGCTTGCTCCAGAGTCGGGCTGACTCCCCGGCTTGCTCCAGTCTGCTGTACCCATTTTCAGGACAGCACATCCCACTCATCTGCACAAGGTAAACCAAAGTTAACACCGAATCAAGGTCTGTAAACCAATGAAGGTTTCTCCACCCAGGAACCCTTTCCCATATCAACCACCAAGAGCCAAGTATTACATCTTACTCAGCATAAAATATAGGCTTGAGAAAAGGACCAAAGTGAAACAAAGCAAACCGAAAGAGAAGTGAAGAAGCAGTCACCTGGGCATGGTGGCACACCTGTAAGCCCAGCACACTGGGGGGCTAAAGCAGGAAGAACGCAAGTTCAAGCCCAGCCTGGACAACTAAGAGACTTAACAAGACCCTGCCTCAAAATTTAAAAAATGAAAAAAGAAAGGTGGGTGGAGTAAGCCAAAGCACACACAAACTTAGCCTGCTTATTAAAAAGAAACCAAAATACTTCCAGAGAGCTGAGCATATCTTACCTAAAAGTATATAGATCTGACTTAGTTTCCTGCCTCTGCCAAAGTGATAATGAATTGATCTATAAATTCTTTCCTCTTCATTTTTATTTTTGACAATTTTTATTGTTATATTCATTTAAGTTCATAAATAATTTATTTACAATGTACAATCTATTAATAATCTCATGCTATATATTTATTTCAGAAGTATTTCTCTAAAATTCACTCTGTCTACATCTTATATCTTTCAAATTTTAATATTTGTCTATAATTTTAATGTGCTATATAATTATTGATTTTCAATAAAGTTAATGAGAGGAAAGAAAAAACAAAGTGATAATGAAATCTAATTGAAATTATACCAGCATATTTCCTGTTTAAATATTCTCATATTCTCAACACGTGAAACAAAGGAATGGAAAACCTGTTAGGCTTCACCTGGCTTTCATACTTAGCACAAAAGCTGTTCAAAGAAAAGTTAACATTTTTCCCCAAAAAGATTATAACACATGTGACATACATATTTAAATGTCTCTAGATGCATAGCCTTAGAGAGACAACATAAATTCCTTCTCTACAAATTTTTAAAACTGCAGATCAATTTAAAATACCTGAAATCATCAGAAAGACGGAAATCTTTTCTTCTAGAGCAGCTAAAATAAACTCTATTATAATCCACTTTTTCTTCACACTAAATAGCTAGGACATTTTTGCTTTTTAATACATGTGGAGGACTGATGACATGACAGACACATTTTCTGTTGTTCAAATATTGCAATCATTTCCCCAGTAGCATAAAAGGTATGGCTAGGTGGCTAGATAGAGCAAATCATAACAGACAATTTACATGATCGTGTTAGTTTTGTTATATTTACAGGTAAAAACCTTTCAAAGGCATCTTCAAACTGTGAAGTGAAAGGGTATTTGTTCTTTAGAAAACAAGTCAGTGAACCCTAGGCTACACCAACCACACAGCTCACTGGCCAGTCTCAAGGCCTGCAGTTCCTGAAGATAACCCAGCTCCCACAACAGCCAGGACCACTTCATGCTTGAATGCAGGCCCCCTCCTCAGCTCTGCTACTTTATTCATGACAGAAACCATTGCTCCCTCTCAGTAAATGGAAAGAAGCCAGCTCCTTCTCCTCCCATTTGCATCCAAGAAAACAGCCAAGTTGTCATAATCTAAAAAGTTGTCTTTTTCCATCAGAGGGACAGAGGTGACTCAACACACATGGCTGTCAAGGGAAGGCTCCTGCTGACTGTAAACCTGTCATCATTAGCAGCTGCTTGGAGACGCTGCCTCTGTTTTAGCGCAGTTGAAGCCCTGTTTGGGTAGACGTCTCCTCATTATAAGTTGCTGTGTAAGACTTTGCTGGGGATCGTCCTGTCATCTGTGGTAATAACAGGTAATACGTTGTCTTTACTACTCAGTGGAGCTGGATTTCATTGTGTCTGTTCTGATTGTATCAGGCTGGGTTTTATAAAACTCTGATTGACCTGATAACATGAAAACGAGTGCAAACACTCACAAAATGAACTCTCTCTTTCTCTCTCCTTCTGGTATCGGGAGCAAGTTACTGGCTGATTTAGAAGGAGAGCTTTTAATGGGATTTAAGAGTTCAGACTTTCCACTATTTCCCTACCTATTAGGTATATAAGGGTTGTACTGAATTGAACCAAAAGTTTTAAATGAATAAGAAGGATTTGTCTGCATCAATGTTGACTCAAGATTTCTGCCATCACTGCTGAGAGGACCTTAGAAGAACAGGCTCTACTGCGGGTGACAACCTCTCCCTTATGTAAATTAGACAGCTACGGAGTATTAGGCAGGAAAACAAGTTTTTGCATTTTTTTCTGCACTAGAGAGGAAGCTCGTTTAAGTACTACTTGGGAAGGAAGAGAATGATGACACCTTTTACTGCCATGGGACTTTTATACAAATAAATCCTCTCCTTATATATATTCTTCTTAGTCTCAGCGACTTGGCAGCATATCATTAGACCTTAAAGGTTTTTATAGAATCTCAAAGTATAGAGTTGTTATAAAAAGACATCAGGAAGACTGGGTGAGTACTGAAGGTGATATCCAGTAGCAGCCTGGTACCTCTTTGTCTGTACCTGGTACAGTAGGAATAAACCACACTGAGAAAGGCTACTGGTCAAACATATCGCTAAGAGTTTCCCTCATTTTCAGTATTAACAGGACTGGGACATTCTTTTAAAGACTTCAGATATACTCTAGCTATGAAAAGAAGTTCACTCTTTAAAAATCACCACTTTAGCCAGGCATGATAGTGCATGCCTATAATCCCAGCAGGAGGATTACCTTGAGTTCGAGGCAACCCTGGGCTACATAGTAAGATCAAGGCAGCCTGAATTACATTGGGAGACCCTGTCTGAAATAACAACAACCACAAAACACCACTTTCTAAATATTGCATATAAAAGATAATTTAGAACAGTATTATAAAAGCTGTCAACCAGCAATGTCTTCTCTATTGATAAACCATAATGGGTACTGAAAGCCCTCTGAAAACAAGCAAGGATTTAACATGACACTATCTTGAGAAATGGATCATTCCCTGTGTATCTTCTCAACAGCCAAGTTCAAGCACATTGATTACAGATCCTGCCCTCACTTGCAGAAGTCAAAAAACTTAAAGCAAAACAATTTTCACTTTTCCAATTAGCCCTTTTCTAAATAAAAGAAAGTTACTGGATGGAATGTCAACATTTTATTTAAAACTCAAACCAAACAGATATATAGTTTCCTTTTATCTTTTAAAACTCTTAAGTTGCAGAATAGAAAACCTTTGTATTTGGTACAAATTACTCTTTTTACATTACTTTTTTTTTGCGGGGGGGGGGGGGGAGTACCAGGGAGTAAGGCCAGAGCTTTGGTACTGAGCCAGAGTACTAGCCCATTATAAATTCTGCTTGTTTGTTTTCTGAGACTAGGCTCTCTAAGTTGCCCAGGTGAAACATAAACTTGTGATTCTTCTGCCTCAGGTCCCTGAAGAGCTGAGGCCACAGGCACGGACCACTGTGCCCTGCTTATGTTACCAAATATTCAGAGCTACAGTTCAACATACTTGTCATGACGATAAGAGATACCCTTTCTTTATCACTTTTTCTCCATGCAAATAAATCATCTATTGGTTCAAAAACACAGTACAGTTATAATCTGCACGTGTATCACAAGAAAGTGTGTGTGAAGCACATCATTATTTCATAGTAGGGATTCGAAGGCTCACAGCAACTCGGCATAGCGAACCCCATGAGGATGTGTGCATCAGCACACAGAAGTGCAGAACAGTGGCTCTTCTATCTGTTCTCACTTCTCTAAGCCATGTCAAAACCAGGAACAACAGGTGTCCAAAGGAAAGGTGAACTATTAAAAAAACTCTTATTTTGTGAGATTGAAAACACTTACTTTGCCTTCAGTGTCTCCTCCTGAAAATTCCAGTATGGATCTTCCACCAGTTGTAACTCTCTTAATACCCTTCCAGGCTTATAGGCTGCGTTGATGATCATGCTAAGAACCTGTTAGGAAAAAACAACTACAGTGAGCTGCAACTGCACTCACTCCTGTTCCAACAAGAACACCCTGAGAACCGCACTGCTGACACCTGCAAGTTGTTCACCATAACCCTCCTTAAGCAGAGAGGTGTGATCAAGTCTGATAGGAGGCTCTGCAGGCTGACTCAGGACTAAAAGGGGTTTGAAATCCACACCTCTCACTGGCAAATGGGAAGCGCCCCTAGAGGCAGTGGCAAGACACTTAATCACTCTTTTGATTGCAGGGAAAAAAGCACCACTCCTTCCAGTGAGCCCTGGATTATTCTTCACCAGGAGTATTGTTCAGCGGGATAGGCTACTGAGAATTCCATTCTATTCTTAAAGATACATTTCATAAGGAACCAATGAAACTGAGACAATAGGTTTGGGCCAACCCTTCTGGAGAAACTTCAGATACCCATAATTATTTGAAATGCATCTAATGCCAACTAGATTCACAGGCATTTAATAGCATGAAAAGTCTTTCAGAGATGTGAGTGTTTTAAAAGGTATGGGACCATCAAAAACCATCCAGTATCTTATTCCCTCAAAGTATCCCCTCATTCCTAAGTCCCAAGTCCAAGAAAGTAAGTAGGCGGTCACTGCCACTGCGGGGCTCCCAGGAAGGCCAGGCTTATCTATTCTGAGAGTCTCTGTGGCAAATTCTGGGGAGGTAAGACCTTCTTGTTAATCCAGGGGAAAAGAACAAGAAACTCTACCCAGGAGTGCTCACCGTCAACAAGCAACCGTGATTCACCTTTCTCATGTCTGACCCTGCCAAGCTCCTGGTAGCTGCTGCCTGAACTGAGAAAGTAGGAAAGCAGAAAGTGCAGATATTGAGCACCATGCTACGACCACCCGTGCAGAATCCACTGCATGCCAGGCACCAGGCATCCTAGGCACATGGCACCTACTCTCCTAAGGTCTGTCTGGGCTTGGGTCCACTCATTTCATGTTCCAGCACAAAATAAATACCAGCAAGAACATTTGGGCATGGGACCCATGCCTGTCACCTCAGCCTTCCGGGAGGCTGAGGCAGAAAAATCACAAATTTGAGCCAGCCTGGGTAACGTAGTAGGACCCTATCTCGAAATAGGAAATTAAATGGGCAGGGGATGTAGCTCAGTGAAAAGGCCCTGGGTTCAATCCCCAGTACCACCAAAAAAAAAAGAATAATATATTAGTAAGATGGAAAACTGGGCCTTACTGTCACCATATCCACTTTTTTTTTTTTCTTGTTGTTGTTGTTAGTAAAAATAAATGGGAAGAAAAAGGAGGAAAGATTGGAAGTATGCATAGGAACACAACTGGTCTATACCCCGACTTACTCCAGATTTGCTTTGCTTTCTCCTATTACTCAACAGACCTGATCTTAAAATATTTTCCACTGTGCAACCAGCATGGCCCGACTCTGGGCTGGGCAGCATTGTGCCAAGCTCCAAGCCCCGGTAACCCCCTACACAGGCAGGCACAAAGAGGTCAGAAAGCAAGAGAGGAAGTTTTAGTGTGTTGTTTTCTATAGACTAATCATCTCACTTTACTGCTTTCTGTTAGTACCATTTAAGACCCTGAGTTTAAAAATAAATCTAATTAGAACTAGCTGCAATCATGTACAAAATCTTTACCGACGGACAATAAAATCTCCCTGGATCCTTGCCTTGTGCTGAGCTGAGAAAGCCCCAGAGCGGCACGTCACTTGCTGCACACCAAAATGTACGCTGCGACTGTGAAAGGAGCATGTTTCCCAGAGTTCAGTTCAGTCTGGGAACAGGCAGCAATTAAATTATAAAAAGCATTGATACTGCATATTTTTCCAGAGGTTTTCCTGATGCTACATCATTTGCCTCCACATTCAAGGAAGTTTCTATGCAATGTTGGAACCATGAGCTCCATGATTTCCAAGCACAGGACGCTTCAGAGTATTACAGTTACCCCACGAGAAGAGCCAAGTAGACAGCTGCTCTCACATGCAGAGTGAGCGCGTTATTATACCTTTCAAACCAGCAGAACATAATTCAGGGTTTCTTGACAGACAGTACCATGGAACTCGGCCCTGAACAACCACCAAGATTTCAGGTGGGAATCAATGAACCACATTCCCAATAAACTGGCATGCTGTAGGGAGTGCGAGCAATTGTAGGAGCAGATTTACATTACACAGCCACACCTCGCTGGATTTCTCTGGGTCCCTAGAGGATATTGACAATGCACTTCTATAAACACCTTCCCATGCCTTAGTGTTACAGCAGCAAAGCACAACTTTCCAGGTAGGCAGGTCTGGGACCCACTGCAGACCCACCTTCCAAAGCTATGGGTCCTTGGCCGGGACTGAGTTTCCTTGTCATCCATAGGTACATCTTGGCATGGCAGCTCTCCTCTGGCTGTCCTTGTAGCCCTCAAGGTCGCAGAGGTTACGCTTTCTCTTGTCCCGGCAACCCCTGTACTTCCAGCGGCCTGTATTTATGTTCCCTTTCCCCTTTCTCAGAAGCTCCTTTCCTTCCCAGCTTCTACCTCCTTTTCAGAACCAAAGTTCACAAAACAAAAGTGGTCTATACTGTTGAATTCTTCACGTTAACTTCAAATTCTCAACTACCTGAATCCAGTTCCAATCTCCAAATTCTAAAATGAAGAATGAAATCCTGCCGTTTGCAAGGAACTGGATAAAACTTGAAACCTCATGTTAAGTGAAATAAGTCAGACATAGAAAGTTAAGTATCTTATGGTTTCCCCTATAGGAGAAACCTAAAACATGCATAAGGTGAATTGCTGGAGATGACGGAGAAGGGAGGGAGAAGGGACAGTAGGAGGGAATAGGAAAATGATCTAGAAATGCTTTATACAGGTACTGAGTTCCCATAATGAATATAACCATCACATTCTTGAAGCCTACACTAATTAAAAATGACTTCCCTCCTAAAACATGACTGTCCTCTTAAAAACAAGTGCTTCTGAAAGGGGCTCTGACAGTCTCTTGTTCAAACCCAGGCAGCATTTCATGCTCCGCACCTCTGGGTCACCCTCCAGCCAGCTCCACAGGCCTGTGGTTTTCCTGCCTGGGTGCAACCAGACACAAAGATATGCTCAGAAGATGGGGGGAGGATGGGAGTCTGAGAGTGCAGGGATGGGTAACAAAGGTAAAGCAACAAAAAAAGGGAGAACAGCTTGTGTGCTGCCATGGTTATTTCAGCAGGGAAGGGAACAGGGTCATTCCTTTGGCTCTCCCTTGCTGAGACCTCTAAAAAGATCACAGGACTGTAGAGGGTGGTGCACGTTGGAGCCCAGCCCTAGGAGGCTGAGGCAAGAGGATGGGAAGTTGGAGGCCAGCCTGGGAAACTTAGCAACCCAGTGAGACGCTGTCTAAAGAATGGAACAAAAGGAAGGAAAGAGAGAAGAAAGACAGGAGGGGTGAAGGGACAGAAGGATGGTGGGGGGACAGGCAGGCAGGCAAGCTGGGATAGAGCTCAACACAAACGCTCTGGATGCAGCATAACAATATGCAGTACTGGGGGAAAAATCCTAAAAACAAGAATCTATACAAACTGAAACATTATTTTGTTTTCTGTTCACTTTATGAAATGTTCTATGATTTCCTTCATATTCCACTCATGAAAACATCTCTCAAAACACCAAAATTTTGCAGTCTCCAACCTCAGCTCAATCCTATGCATAAAGTTACGGCAATGCTGCAAGTGCAGGTAACCACCTGCTAGAAGGTCATTTTTTTGCCTGCCAAAAGCACAGCAGACCACAGAGAGATTAAAAAAAAAAAAAAAAAAAAAAAAAAAAAAAAAAAAAAAAAAAAAGAACAGAAAAACATCCCAGGATACAAATGTGGCTCCCGCAACCGTCGTGAGGCCAGTGGGGTGGGAAGATGGCAGATTTCAGAGGTCAAAGTTGTAACCTGTACGACCCTAGTGACTTGGGAAGAAGGATCTGTGAGGCTGGCTTTAGAGACAGGGAAACATGAGGGAGACAATGCTCTCTCCTGAAGGGTAGGAGAAAGGATGGAGCGCAGAAGGGCTACATGTGGCCACTCTTTCAACAGATTCTTCTGCTCTCCAAGCCACCCCAGGACCACAGTGGCGACAAACAAGGAGCTTTTTACAGAAATCATGGAACATCAAAGACCTTTGCATATCTAAAATATTTCTTCTTTTCAACTTCAAAATCGGAGGGAATAATTTTAATCAAGACTTTTCAAAGGAAAATAGGACTGTGTCTCACTTCCTCAGTAATTTCTCTGCTGGTGGCACTCCTCTTACATGGAAAAGTGCAGGCAGGGGGAGAGGAGACAAGATCGGGACCCCACACTTAGTGCTGCTGTTACAGACAGAGCTCCAGCAAATTGCACAAATGTAATTTTTGTAACCAAATGTAAGCCGACATTGTTAATGTGAAGCTGACTCCTTTGTAAATGGAGAGTATGGTGGCTTTCAGAGGAATTTGTGAGACAGTGTTTCTCTTACTGAGAAGATCACACTTACCCTGCACACTGAAGGCATATTGCATCTAATTGTGGCCCTCTTAAAGTCCCAGGCCCTGGGACTCATCGAAGCTAGAAACACTCTAAAGACAAAATTTCAATCTCTTTTGCATACATATCTTCTAATGAAGCCACAGAAAAGCAAAGGCTAGCTTCAGGTGGGGGTCAGGGAGACCTTAGAGGTAGATGTTTAATTTGGTCTCTTCCAAAACTGGTGGCTGCTCTGTGCATGTCCAAAGATCAGGGAGGCCGAAGCACCCGATGAACTTACTCCCCACAGTGACTGGTGATACCATCACTCACGTTCCTTGCTCCTCTCCCAACAGCTATAATTGTTTTCTTAATAATAATAATAATTAATAATAATAATAATTATTCAATACATTTTTACCAAGGCCAGAACACAATCACTCTGGTCTGACCTTTACAGTCATTAAGATTCCCTGTGTGAATTGACCCCTGGGTAGCCCACACTGGCCTGGAGCCTCACAGAGCTCTGCTT